TTTACTTTTCATCACTGATCCTTTATAAACCCCAACAATGCTCTGGGAACCAGACAATCACACCTGGCCGTGAATTGGAGGCTATCCAGCTCAGGCCAGGGGAGGAGCAGAAGCACTTCCCAGACACCAGTGCTGAGCCTGAAGGATGTGGATAGCTCCAGATTCCTGGAGGCATTTCAATTCAGTTCTAACTCCTCATGCAGACAGGAACTGGCACTTCTCATCCATGCTTCTTAATGATTTAAAAATTATTTTCAATTATGTGTATTGTATTGGTGTGAGGGTGGGATATAGGTGACCTGAGGTCAGATGTCTGAGGCTGTCAGAGGTGTCAAATACCCCTTGAGTAGGAGTTTTAGGAAGTTGTAAGCCACCTGTTACAGATGCTGAGAACTTCCTCAGGTTCCCTGGAAGAGCAGCATGTGCTGTTAATCACTGAACCAGGTCCCCAGCCTTTTAACTCATGTTAAACAGAACCCACACCCCAGAGGTCATGGTTGTGCTCCTGAAGGTAGAGATCCAGTCCTGCAGGATGTTGTATTGTCTTAAATGGGGAGTTCCTGAGCCTTTCCTGCTCTTCCTAAAATCTGTCCCAGTAAATGTAGCTCCAGCAGGCCTGCTCTGTGGGACATGCTCAGGTCATTTTGTTTGCTTGGCCAGATTTATGGTCACAGAGTGCACCCCAAAAAATTTTTATGTCCTCTGCCTTGTTTGGAGGCACAGTGATGGCATGTGAAGAGGAACAATTCAGAAACAAGTTGTCCTTCATCTGTGGGGATCCTGAGGTTTTGGTGTCCATGGAACTTTCTGGAGGCTACAGGGATGGCTCTGCTAATCTGAATAGTCAATAGGATGCACAAAGGAGAAGAACTCTTCAACAACAGAATTCTAAGGATCATTTATTTTGGTCACCGAGACAATAGGAAGCAATCACTACATTATAGATTTTCATCTTCTAAGGATGTAATTCCAGGCAAGCATGGGTTCTGGGGATTCAGAAGAAATCTTCTGGGGCTGGTCATCTGCCATACTTAAAAGTATCGAATCCATCTTCCACTTGGCTCTCAACCATCTATTGTACAAATTTGATCATGATTTTCATCTCTTTAGAAAAGTCTAGCTGTTCAAGCCCTCACTGTACGTCTGGCAGCTCTTTGCTGTTTGGATCTTTGGCCTTGTTGTAATATTTCCTGACCCGCATCCCAGATACCACAGCTACCCAGGGCCATCATTTTACCCACTTCTAAGGGGTGCCATGGATATCTCCCACCATTTGAATATGCTTTCCTTGTCTGGTGGGCTTTGTGTTTCCCAACTAAAGCTTTCTCCTCATTGACCTCCACTCTGACATCTCTCTGCCTTTCCCCATGCAAAACTAGTCACTATTATTAGAACTTAGTAGAAGCTGGTGCAGAGCTTATGGTGACACAGAGACTTGCTTCTCTGGTCTAGCTACATTTACCTTTTACTCTCCATTCTAACACTTGCCTGCCTGATGCATAAGGTGTTCAAATGAATGAATGCTCCCACTCACTTCATTATTCAGGGAGAGTCAGACCTCTCAGGCTAGGGAGGGGAAGAAGAGTGAGATATCCCAGTTTATGACCATGTGGACCTCAGTCCTGGTGACTTGTGTCACTTTAGTCTCAGTGGGACTGCTTTGCAGAGGAGAGGGCCACAGA